GTGAGACTTGATGATGATGACCAATCCACCCAAAACCAAACTGGTTCTATATTACCTGATTATTATTCCAATTTTGAAGACACACAGCTTTAACTTTTCGCAAAAACATTCACTTTTATATGGATAGAAGATGGTTTTTCTATTTTCTAAGAAACATATACATATATGTATTAGTTTTGATTTCCTAAATACCTAGGTAGGTAATTGATTTGTTTTTTTTTTTAACAGTATTTTCTACGAGTTTACTTATTTTTATTTTCTAATAAACAGAAGTAATTTTAATGTAACTTACTTTTATTTGATCCTTTAATGCTTCATTGAGGGCCTTACATACTTCTGGCACAATACGGCTGATCACCTGGTTCGACACTTTAAACAAATAACCAAGACTGGTGTAGCTCTCGCCACTTGCCAAAAATCTGAGAGTAATTGCTAGACATTCTTGAATAGGAATGGCTTTTCGCATATTAGTATCTTTTTTCATAATTTGTGGTCCAATTTTATTAGGAATTATTTCAAAATCTTCTGCAGACATTCGACAAGAATTTTCAAATTTTCCGGAAGGTTCTTTTCTTAGATCACCTAGTATGTCTAAGCCATTGTATCTAAAATATGTTGTATATATAATTCTATATTTACAAAAATTCTGCAAGCAAAAAGTACATAATACAAATCTATATATATAAAAATCAATGTTTGCTGGGTTTCCGGCTTATGCGCTCCTACACCACTTATCCGATTACGATGAAACTTTGGCTCCAACGTTAGAGCCAACAACGTTGGACACATCGTGTAGGACCGGCTTAAGGATGTGGGCGTTTTTGGTATTCGGGAGGCAGTCTGTCTTCCAATATGGGCTAAGGGGGGCAACTCCTGTCTTCCAATAAGGGCTAAGGGGGGCAACTCGGGGGGCAATGACACTGTTGGAAGTGCTAGGCTGTGGTAGTGAAGGTGGTGTTACATTGCAAATCGGTGGCCTATTCGATTCCTGTGAAAAGTGAACTGAAATAAGTGTTTTTAAGCACAGTATGTCCCAGCAAAGAGTGACACATTTTAAAGGCTTATAACTTTTAACTGTTTGCTACCCCTCCCCCCTCCACCCCGACATTTTTCTTGGTCTAAAATTTTTTTACACTTGGAACACCCTGTATACTACCACGCTGAAATCAAGATTCATATTGAAGGCATCCATGATGTCTTTATATACACAATCCTTCAAATTTGATGATTTAGCCGTAAAAATTAAGTAGAAAATAGTATATATTTATATTTTTTAAATGTGTAACTCTGGGTTGGGACACTCTGTAACTCAAGCTGCACTAATTCACAGTCCTTATATATTTTTTAAATACTTTTACTTTTTGGAAATAGAATACCATCCATTCCCAACTCAACATTGTTGTCTCCGGTGACAGATTGCCAAACCAATAAGGTCATCACCGCACTTCGACATTACTTAATGGAAGGCTTTTTGTAGAGCCACCCCCAGTCTATTCTCTTTCTCTCTGTCCGCAACTGGGCCGCTCTGGCCTTTGTCTTTGGTTTCCAGCAGCTAACTCCCACTGAACATGCAATGTTACGAAAGCCTAATGCAATATTACTCTGATATGCTCTGATCTTAGTTTCGCAACATTACAATGTAATATTGAATTATTTTTGACACAACATTACGTTAATAAATTACAAAATGGAATATCCTTGAAATTTTAACGCATATTAGAAATTATAACTTGTACGCAAATTAACATTGTAAATATGCATTTAAATTGAACTGGTATAATTTTTGCAATGTTATAATAACTACCAAATATAAACTTGCTGCAAAATTGGAAATATAACTTGTAGGTAAGGTTACATCGCAAAGATGCCTTAAAGTTGTGTTGATATTATTTTGCAATGTTATAATTTAATATTGAATGTAAACTTGCTGCAATATAGCAGAAATAATACATTGGAAAATCGAAAGCTTTGCCGCCATTAATAACGATCGGAACGACATCGGGGATACGAACTAAACCGAAAGCAAATCGACGCCATCAAGTCGCTGTTTGTCGTTTGCGTTGAGTGCTGTGTCTGCTTGTTGAATGTTGTGCCTGTGATAAAGCGAATCTCGGCTAAATTTTTGGTGTTTGTGTTGGGATTATGTATTGGATCGGTTCAGGTAGTGCTTTGCTTTTTGGTTATTTTTATTATTCAGTTTTTATTTTAGAACCGGTGGAAATGAAATAAATATACAGCGATTACAATGGATGAGGATTCAAATAAGGTGAGTAAGGTTTGCATAGTCAATAAATACTTTTTACAAAAATACTGCGGAATGGGGCCCCTTTTTTGTAAACCGTAACCTCTTTTTTTCATACCTACAAATCCCGTATTATTATTATATTACTTATTATGATTTTACGATAATATTTTAGTTAGGATCAAAAATATCGTAAACCGTTTGGTAGGTAATGTCCAGAAAGAAAGTGGCTACGACGGGGAATAATTATTATAATAAAAATACATACAAACTACTCCCTGATTTTGTTTTTGTTTCAGGTGACAATATAAGTAGCAGCTGTGGTAGCAGCCAGTACCTAGTTCGTCCTGTGTGTCAACCAATCTAAAATTTCGCTTTTTTTTTCTGTTTAGAATTTTTATTTATTTTGCTTTGAGATATTACTTTTTACGTTTTGTTTTTCACCTAAGTATATATTTTTATTGTGAGTATTATAGATATACATAATATACCTACCAACCTTTTTATTTTGTTTTCCAAAAACTTGTACTTTTATTCATAATAAAATATCTACATAATATATGATTATGGGTTTCAGGCACAAATTTTAACAGCTTGTTTTTAGAACAAGCTGTTAGAGTTTATGCACCGCAACTCAAATCTCTCTGTATAGGTACATAGCATTTACAGTTGCAACATTACTTTTTTATTGCAGTAAAGTTGCGAACCCAATATATTTTTAATAAAAATGCAATATTGCAGTAAACTTACTAATAAATTGCAAGTAACCCTAAGGTATATTTGAATTTGTAACCTTACAGTCGTAAGTTTGCTGAAGTTTTGATCTAATATTCCAGTAATATTGCTGAAAGGTTATCATTTATAAACCTTGCATTTGTAATATTACCCTAAGGTTGTTTCAGTACTTGCCGCAATACTGCGTCAACATTACAGTAAACTTCAATATAACCTTACAAGTTTGCAGTGTAATGTTACTTCATTATTACTGTAATCTTATCTCCCAGGGAGTTATCGTCAAACACAACGTCAATGACAGCAAAAACGTTAGTGTTGGGTTCGGAACCAACCCAGAACCAGTTGGTGCAGAACCACAGACTACAGGACGAAAACGGCCGGACCACCCAGAGCGCACAAGCGAGACCTGGGCTACGAGGTTCGGCAGCGATCAAGTCTTAGTCTGCGACCCGCCTCGATGCCGTAGCTCACGGCTTAGAAAAACCTCCCTGCACACATACCTACCTACCCTCGCTATGAATCGCTGTTGTTCATCCCCGCTGTATTTTTATAATTAATAAAGGTCGGTGCTAAATTGACTCGTGGCGTGATTATTATTTCCCGATCGACAAACGTAACAAAGTGGCGACGAGATAAAAGTGATTTTTTTTTTGGACATTCCATTCGACAAACGCGCGGCATTTCCAAAATGGCGAACATAAAATTCGTGGAATTTAACCCCGATTATGACAACTTCGAAGTATACGCGGAACGGCTGGAGTACCATTTCACGGCAAATTCGGTTACGGACAGAAAAATAAAAATCGCAATTTTACTGAGTTCAATAAGCGCAGACACCTACTCCCTGCTCAGGGACATGTGCCACCCCACGGCACCCAGGGACAAAGAATACGACGCTCTAATCAGTATTTTGAGAAAACAGTTCGGGGTAATAATAAATGTTTGGCGCGAACGAAGAAAGTTTTACGAGCTAAAACAAAACCATGAAGAAAAAATATGCGAGTGGTACGCCAGAATTCGAAAAGGCGCCGTTTCCTGCGGTTTTGGAGCCGATTTGGGCAAGATATTGCTAGACAAGTTTGTTTCCGGACTGGTGGACGGCAAGATTTTCGACAGATTGTGCGAGGAGAATGCTTCAACGGCCTCGATCGAAACCACAGTAGAAGCAGCCAGCAAGGTGGAGAACGTCATCCATTCGACAAGGGGCATCAACATCGTCCATGCAAATTTCCCGCCACATCGTCCACATGGCGCCGGAAAACCGGAAATTCAACAATATGGCGGCTACCCCTACCACCAATCTCAGAGCAGCCAACACCACCAAGCACATGACCGAGACCGTCGACGCAACGACAGACGAAATCCGAGGAGCCGGTCACGTAGCAACAGCCGCAACCGCTGCGTCGAACGCAGCAATCAGCAGTGGCAACACCGCCGAGGTAGGTCACCCGCCGACAAGCGTCTAGGGGCAGGACAACAAACATCGATTCAGAGCATCGCGCATGCGTGTTCACGAATGTTTTGTTTTTAGGGGACAACATAACCACAGATGCCACAGATTCAAAAAATAACAAATAGGTTTATTTTAAATTAAATTTTGACCTTTTATTTTAGTAAAGATTTGGACAGAGTATTGCCAAATTTGGTAAACTTGAGCTCTATAAACCTAGCAGTCCCATGGTGGAAAAAAAGTTCGGAGCTAATATAATAATTAGGTGCTTTTGAGGTGCCGATTAAGGCTTCTAATTATCCTGAATATTTTCCATTTTCTAATTATTTCCAGGTTTCCAATCTTTATTTACTTCCTTTCTCCATGCAATAAAAATCATTAACATTCCAATAAAACACATAATAAAGCTTAAATATTTTTTTTATTCCCATACAAATTATAATCTACTTAACTAAAAATATGTAGGATAATTATCATAGTCTTACTTAGTTTTTTTTGGTTTTAGTTTAAAGTCAACCATGTACCTGTATTATACAGTATCTATTCTCTACATAAAAGCTGAATCGCTAATACATCTGCCTCCTCGGCTGAAGGCTTTTCTAGGGTTTTCTTCTTTTTCCGACATTGCTTTGCTGCAAATAGACGCCTTTGGGGTTGTATATTTTTGTTGTGAGGCGTGCTACTTGAAGAATTCATGAAATTAGATGTCGATTGCTGCTGATTTCTTACAGCAGCAAGGGTTGGCTCTAGAGGGGCAAGTATCCTTTCAGCAGCTTCAATTTCATCCAGGGAATTGACATAAAGAAGCTGTTCTTGAACACGGTGAAGCAGTTTTTTCTTTCTCTCATCAACTTGCTGCTGTCCATTACTGACTGGTCTAGTGATACTAAGAGACTTTGCTAAGCCAGAAATCTCTGCATGATTTTGGTTTATGTCGATAACCAAATTAGTCTCTAAGAAAAATTAAATAAAAACAGTATTAGGCATATGCAAGGGTATAATATGGAATTTAAAAAAAGTTATTATGAACGTTTTTAAATAAAAAAACATAATGAATTAGGTTGGTAAAATTGAAGTGATGGGCCTAACTTTGGAAACGTCATGTATTTATACACACAAACACCTAAACGTGCGCTATTACACAAAAATTAACAAACTGAAAAAAGAAACTGATAGATTGAACTTATTTTATTTTTAGCTCAATAAAATAGCTATTTATGCAACAAGTGTGAGAAGTTAACCTTTTTTCAAAAATGTGAATTCTGAAAATCACAATCACATGAGTGAAAAAAGTATTTTAATGTAAATAAATAAAAGGTAGAGTAGAAATCAACATCAACCGAGAAGAAGCCATGCGCGTTCTCGTTTGTCTCACTTTAAATGGGAGGGACCCAGAGAAAAGGAAATCTGCTTTCTTTGTCAGCGCTAACGACAGTGGCTTCTTCTCGTTTGATTTTTACTCTACATCTCACCCGATGACACATTTAGTACTTCATTCTCAGAACTTGGGACCTGCTGTATGAATTTGCAAACTAAGTGAATATGTTTACACATATTCCACTGTATTGAACTATCAAAACATGAACAGCTGAACCGATGAATGCATGCGTTACACACATCGCAAATTAGCGTACAACTGCAATCAGATTTTATTTCTACCACTTCGTATACTTCGTTCCTAGAAGCTGATGATACAAGCCATGTCATATCATTTTGTACAACTCTATCAAGCTCCAGACTCTCACTAGTCTTGTGTCTTTTTCTTAAGGTACTTAATTTAGTACACACCTTCCCTTTATGTAGCACTATCAACCTCTCATACAACTTATCTCTGACAAACTTCATGATTGCCCCAATTGCTTTGTCAAGTCTTTTGACAAATTTTCCATGTAAATATATGTGTTTCAGGGTACGGTGCATCCGTTCTAAAAAAAAGTGAAAAATGGTAATAGTTTTTCTATTTTCATGGACTTGAGTCGCCTTTTAAGCCCCTAGGGATTTGAAATCATTTTAAATTCCTAGGGATTTAAAGTGCCAGTTTAGTCCCTGAGAATAAGGACTAAAATATACTATTAGTTCCTAAAGTACAGGATGTCCCAAATTCGAGAGTGACCATTGAGATATCGGTAACTATAAGAGATACGAGATCGGTTAAATTCTGGCAAAGTTGCCCAATTTTATGATCGATAAAATGCCGTTTTGAAATTTTAAAAATTACGAATACTCCGGAGATATTCGGAAAAATCCGAAATTTTGCAGAATCATTTTTATTTTTTCCTGAGTCTATTTGAAGAGCAATTTTAAAATGAATGTCACTTCATCGTTGTCGCTTTTTCTCCTTTAAGATGTTGCTACCAAATTTCAGATTCGACGTTTCGTCTTTGGGCGGCTATCATCACTTTTATTTTTTTAAATACAGATGCTCATTTTTAATTTTAAATTTTATGAGCCTCTGATGTCCCAAAACCTATGACGTATCGGAATAATTCGAAAAATTTATATTATTGACACTTTCCATAAGAACATAATGTGTTAGAGAGAGACAGAAAAGAAAATTTTGGTAGGAAATTATCTACTATAAATTAAAAAAAAAAAAAAACTAGTAAATGCGATACGTCATAGGTTTTGGGACATCAGAAGCTCATAAAATGGAAAATAAAAACTAAGGGCCCGTATTTAAAAAAATAAAGTTGATGAGGGCCGCCCAAAGACGAAACGTCGAATCTGAAATTTGGTAGCAACATCTTGTAAAGGGGAAAAAGTGACAATGATGAAGTGACATCTATTTCAAAATTGCTCTTCAAATAGGCTCAGGAAAAAATAAAAATGATTTTGCAAAATTTCGGATTTTTCGGAAGTATACGGAATTTTTCAAATTTCAAAACAGCATTTTATTGGTCATAAAATTGCGTAACTTTGCCATGATTCAACCGACCTCGTATCTCTTAGAGTTTCCGATATCTCAATTGTCACCCTCGAATTTAGGACACCCGGTACATAAAATTATAAAGCTGTCTTTTTGCCTCTATTACTTAGCTGAAAATTCAGGTAATTCCAAGTAGGTGAATTTCTTTCTACTCTTTCGCAACAGACTCAGATATAGCTTACCTATGTGCATATTTGTGTTTAATCCACTGTTTAGTCTGTAGCAGTACGCCCACTGTTCTGATTTACTTCCATAATTGAGCTCAAAATAATTAGCAAATTCTAAGGTATCAGAGCTTTCTCTACAATACAATAAAAATTCTTGTAATAAATTTTGGAAAGATCTCACATCCCTCTCCTGCAAAAGCATACGAAGCATTTGGTAAATAAGGACCTGAAAAAAAAAACACTACTTTATAACCTTTTAAAAATTTTAACGTCATTGAAGTTATTGAATTGTACCTTTTTCTCCTTGCCTACAATTTTTTCCAAGTTTTTTCTCCAAGCTTTTTCCACATGCCATGTACAGAATAGCCTTGCAAAAAAAGTTATCATTAATAATAACAAAAAGTATATGATAAATGTTTGTTTATATTATAAATGTGCCCAAGTAAATAATTTGAGCTTACCTAAATTCAGCAGGAAGCATAATTTCTACCCAGGCATTATAAAATGCTTCTGCCATGTCGGACATGAACACACGAGGTCTTATTTTCTTTTCAATTCTCTTCTCAACACATGAAAAAAAAAGCTTGAAAACTGCAACATCACTCCTATTTGAAATGAGAAAGGCACATGGATAACCTTCTCTTAAGTCATCTAATACAAGAATTGTATTTAATTCAAAACCATACCCATTCATTCCATGGGTGCCATCTATACATATACAATCGTCACCAAACTTTTCCAGTAAATCTTGTTGGCCTTGTGTCATAATAATTAATACAAAATCATCAGACTTCAGTTCAGGATGTTCCTCACATAGAAAGTCCTGCGGTTTATAGAAAGGTACAGAATCACTGGTTTTCAGTTCATTAACCCAAGCCTCCACACTTATAGCATCATTTGCATGACGTACAGAACTGCCCTTCAAATTAAATGAATCTTCAATATTGTAAAGGTCCTTTTTGTTCAAAAGATGAATACGCTCAAGATTACAATAATTCTCAATTGAATCTCTAACCTCATCTAATATGGCTTGAAGTGGTATTTTTGCTGCTATCTTAGCTGCAATATTCTCTCTCTGAGACTTCGTCAAAAAAAGATGTCCCATATCTTTCTCCTGATCCTGACCGACATGGGTTTTGCAAAATTTGACTGTACATTTATCATTTTTTGCTAACACAGTCATTCTGGCAGGACAATATCCCCCTATTTTATTACTACCACGTATTTTAGGTGCACGAATGTTGTTTCCTCTGGCCCTGGTATTACCTGATCTATGACAAAAATACATTGTCTTGGTGTGTTTTAAGGTTCTTTTAGCACCACTTGTCTGCACAAATGAGGCAAAAGTTTCTGCTTCTGTTTTTGATTTCCAAACCTGCACAAAATTGCAAAATTGATTACTTACTATAGTTTAAAGCAAGGTTTAAAGGTAAACTTGGTTTAAAATAACGTCTGTTGTCATCTTCTTAAGTGTTTATGTACTGGGACTGTTTATGCACTTTAGGGAATAAACGTATTATTTTAGTCAATAAGAGACTAAAGTAGAACTTTTATCCCTAGGGATTGAAAGTGCAACTTTATTCCTTAAAAATAGGTAATAGTTAGTGATATTTAATAATTTTTTTCTTCAACTTAGTTTTTTTCTAACCTAAAGTACCTACATAAAATAGTACCAATATAGATAAACCTTGCGACGAAAGTGTCTTTTTGTCCCGCCTCGACAAAAGGTACAATCTTTTCGCCTTGGGAAAAAAAGAGTGAAAAGCGTCATACTGACCTGAAATGCCTCGACTGAATGAAATTCAAGTGTTTCAGTTATAATTTCTAAGCTATGGACTTGTTTAAAGTGCTGAATCAAATTATCTGCCGATGTGCCGGTGTAGTGGCATAAAGAACATTTTATTGGCTTATTAATAATATGGCTACTTCTATGTTTAATTAATTGTTTTAACAGACCAAATTCGCAATCGCACTGGTTGCATTTATGTGCTTTTTTTTCTATTGGGGCAAGTTCTTCCAGTTTATCTAAAAGAATTGCCTCATAAAAAAAATATTTTATAAAAAATAATCAAAAAACTTCTTTTAAAATTTAAGTAGGAAGATAGGTACTTACCGGAATGTTTATGCTTAACATGCAACCTCAGATTACCAAATGATGCAAAGCATTTACCACATTCACTACATAAATGATTACCAGAACCAGATGGATTTCTATTCATTGGTGCAAGTTCATCCAATTTATCTAAAATTTATTGAACCAGAAATAATAAAGTATTGCATAATAGTAAAGTGTGTACCTGGGTGTTTTCTTTTTACGTGAGCTCTCAAACTAGAGGGTTTGCAGAAATCCATTTTACATTCTCCACAATGTGCCATTGTAGGATTTAAAAGTTTTATGTTTTATCACTTGTTGAGTTTGGAATACGGCACACGACAACGCACGCAAAACGAGCAGCAAAACATGGACGGAAACGAATATCACGAACGAGACGAGACAGGAGAAGATATTTAAATAAAAATAAGTAGTATCTCTATGGTAGTATCCAATGGATGTTTATTTATTAAAAATATTTCTGTCAATAAAATCTGTGGTTATGTTGTCGTTCGTATCGATAATAATCGTAAACTCGGATGCGCGATGCTCTGAATCGATGTTCGGCGTCCTGCTCCTAGACGCTTGTCACCCGCATCCGTCAATCAACCACCAAACTTCAATCGGTATGACGGAGGCGGCAATCGTAAATGTCAAACGTGTCACAAATTTCATGGAAATAAAAAATGTTTTTTGCTGAATTCTAGGCCCAATTTAGGTAAAGATCCTCACAGAAATTACAACCGACAAGTAAATTTTGTAAATCGAGACGAAGATTTGTTTCACGTTCAAATTACAGAGGGGTTCGCAGACTCCACTCCAGTATGTAAACAAAAGCAAACAGCGGCAAGGGCAACAAGCATTTGCCGGGTCGAGGGGGATGTAAGTGATAATCCTTTTAAAATTGAGGTGGAAATCCTAGGTAAAAGTCACGTAATGACTATTGATAGTGGGGCAGGTTTGTCTTGTTTGAGCAAAATAACATATTCTAAACATTTTTCCGATTTTAGGTTAAAAAGAGACTCTTTGCTGTTGAGGGGATACGATGGGAGCACATTCACTCCGGACGGATACTTTGAGGTGACTGTTAAGTACAACGGCATTTCCAGGCCCGTCAAATTTTACGTCGTTTCCAACGGATCAGCAGACATTCTTGGTCGTGACTGGATTGGCACCTTCCAAGTAAAAATAGAGTTAGTTAATCAAATCGCATTAAACGAAAGAATTTCAAATTTAATCAAGAAATTTCCTTCAGTGTTTACAGATAATTTGGGTGAATATAAATTTAAAAAAATAAGATTAGGCAGCTGCCTAATTGTGATTTAAAAATGAAATATCAATAAATATTATTAAAATTATTATTGTAGTATACCATCATATATAGGTATTTAAATGATCATAAATATATCAACGTGTTAGTAGAAACAATTACTTCTTCATTAAACAACTCAAAATATCAAAAATTAATTTTTCAGTACACAGGGTGTTTTCATGGAACAAGGAGTCTTGTCTATTGTCTCTGATAATAAAAAACAATTAGAATAATGAAAGGAATTTGGAAGTATCTAATTAAAAAGCACAATTTTTAGGAAGCCAGGTAATTAGTAAGACATATTAATGTCCCCTCTAAAAATCCGAGATGTATTACACCCGGCTGTAACACCCTGTATATTGATATTTGATAACAATGTAATATGTAGCCTACCGCTTCCCACTTTTCTGTAGGTCTAACGCCGAAACCCATTTCATTCAAATTAGTAACTAACTGCTTCCACAACTCATTACTTGCACCGGCATCTCCTGCAGAGTGTTGGCCTTATCAATGGAGGATGTTCCTCCATGAAATCTGTTACAAATTTCCACTGTAATGGGTGGATTTTCCAATCACGTTCTGGAATAGTTTGAAAAAAACATAGATGATGGTATATGAAACATCATATACTGACATCATTCAATTTTTCAATCCACTACAAAAAGAAGCATTCTTCTAGTGGATTAATGCCGGGTTTCCCACCGATTCCCACCCCTCACTAGTAAATTAATGATATTTTCTTTCCAAATCATACCTAATATTAATTATCATGTATGTATCATACATAAAATGATACAGTTTTAGGTACGTTGTATGAAAATTTAGGTATGGTTCCCTTACCCATATCCAAATTTTCTTCTTGTTGCACGACCCTCGCATATTAACACATAAGTAGGTAGGTATTGATCACTTTGTATCTCGAAACGCACCACGTACCCTTTTGTGATTTGCGCTATTTTACCGCAGTATTTTTACTAAATGCTAAGGCTAAAATAACATTTCAGGGAAAATGTTAAAAAAATCAAAGGCGGTTATTTCTTTTCCCAAATACGAAATTGGGAAATATCTCTGGGAAATATTCAAGACACAAAACTATTCAAAATATGACAAAACTACAAAACATAACCACAAATAAACAAAACATAAACTCTGACAGAAATTAAACGTTTCACGATAATGTGTTGGAAAAAGATAGAAACAATTTTTCCATTACAGAAAGACCTAAACGGGTCTATTTCTCCATGCCGACCGAACACCGAACGGGACTGCCAAATCGGCATACAGAATAAGGTTTTGTGATAATAGAAACAAATTTCTTGCCTAGAAAGAATTTTCTATGTCTATGGCGTTAAAGAATACGCACTCTGGTTGCTCGTCGGTACAGGCCGTAATGCTCCCATGGTCTTACGGAGCCGTTAAATAAATCGGTTCTCACCGAGTGCGGCGGCGCGGCGCTAGGGACTAATAGCTGTCCAGGAAGGTGTATCATACACCACCTCAGAGATTGTCCTATTCGCAGGTGTTGCGTAGACTCAGCACGACTACGGGTACCGCATTAGCGGCCATGAGAGGGTTCGAAGGAAGATTTGAATACACCCATTTGATTGTGGCCTCGTTTTTATGGGCTGTAACCCCAGCATTGCGTTTAGTTAGCGAAACAGCTGCCTCTCGAATTGAACCCAAAGCGCAAGATATCCATACTTCGAGGAGCATATATGCCTCTAGTACGGACGTTATCTTTTGGTAAATAGATCGATGATTGTGAGCAGGTATGAGAAGTTGTGACTAGGTGGGTTGCACTCTTGGAACAAATGCTTAACTTGGGGGATCCTGTTACGCCACACAAAGCTCTCGGCGATAAATCTTAGTCTGTCCTGGGAGGCACTACGTGTCAGACTTCATAAAAACATATCGCTGTGAGGCAGCCGGCAGATACACACGTATATGTTCGCTTGGAGAGTACAATGGATGGGTCGCTGATTGTTCGGCAGGACGATGTGTTGGAGTCTTAGGGAACCAGCAGGATCATGCAAGACCTGCTGTAGATAGATCCTCATCTGTAGTTTATGCTTCGGCCAATCGTTCAAAGTTGATGGTGCTTGGTACTGTGAGGGCTTCTATTTCAGGACGTGACAGGCGGCAACGATGTTCGTTGTACCTTGGACATGCCGTATGTCCGTTGAGAAATGACCAATGAATTCCAGCTGGCGAAATTGTCTCGGGGATTCGCGGTCGTATTGCTGCTGGAAGGCGTACGTCAGAGGCTTATTTTCGGTATATATGGTGAAGTGCCTGTATTCGAGGAAGTCACGGAAATGGTGGATGCCACTGTAAATCGCCAGCCAGCCGCGGTCGGAGGTACTGTAGTTTCGTTCTGCCTTGGCAAGCTTCTGCGAGGAAAAGTTATAGGTTGCAGGTGCTCAAGTGCTCAATTACAAGCTGGCCTTGCCGCGCTGGAGAAACCAATTGGACAAAGGCGACCAGGAGTTCTTTAACTTTGGTGAAAGCGCTTAATGCTGCTGGGGATGCCTCAGCTCATCCCTGTTGTTTCCTCTGTTGATGCGTCAATAGCTCGTGAGTGGCATGAGCTCCGTTGCAGCGCCTGGTAACCAACGTCGACATAAATTGTCCATTCCTATGAAGCGACGCAGTTGTCGATAGGTTGTGGGATGTGAAAAGTCGCGGATGGCGCTAACTTTAGCCGGCACTGGTCGGACACCAGTTGGAGGGAGTGTGACGATCAGAGTCCGTATTCTCGAAACCGGGGGACAGCGTTCTCATGGGAACGAGAGCAATCGTTCTTGTCAGTGGTATGGAAGTAACAATATGGGCGAGTAAGACAGATCCTTTATTCCCACGAGAAGAATGCTCCCCTGTTTCGAGAATACGGGCCATGGAAGTTGGCTCCACGGTTCAGGAATTTGAACTTGTTCCTGTTGATTTTCTTTCAGGATCTGCAGGGCTGATGTCAGGTGTACTGCTTCTGTCGATCAAGATAAGAGGATATCGTCGATATAAATATAGACAAAAGGGTATCCTCGGAAGAGATGGTCAAGGTAGCACTGCAGCGCTGTGCAGTAGTTCGCAAAACAAAGGGCATTCGCAAAAAATCGTATGGGCCAAAGGTCGTGAGCACAGCTGTCTTTGGTACGTCCTAGAGGCAGAGTGAAATAGAACACACAGGAGGTCGCCCTCGCGCGTGTTTCGAGGTCAACGATGTGGCTTATTGCAATTGGAATATCCAATCGCCGATTTTTCCGGTGCTTCCGAACGCCACTGGCTCACTAACACTACCCGTAGGTTATCCCACTTCTGATCTGTAAACACACATTTTTTGTTGATTCGAAAGTAATTTGCTCGCCCGAAAAATACAATATAGTGTCCGATTCGGAACACGCCATCCATGCCGCCTCGCCGTACCAGCCTGCACCGTGTAGTCGATGTGACTTTTCCCACCCATTTACCGCAGAAATTTTGTGGTATTTTTCGTATTTTTATTACCCTCTACGGTGTTTGGAGAGCGCATTGTCAATATTAGGCAATTTTATTAATATCCTGATGAAGTTTTATTGAGAACTGTTTAGCTCAAGGTAAAAATTAATTATTCTAACTAAGTAATTACTACTGTTTTTCAGATTTCACAAAGTAGCAACATCATCATCCAGACAAACGCTTTTCTTTTAGCTTTGGGAATATAAACAAATAATATAAATAGGCACCAAGTAACAAGAAAAACTGTAGACTTGGACCTAGCAACGGAACAACTGCTGACCGCGGTTACATCCACCTACATGAACAACTGTCCTACAATTACGAGTAATTCCAACAGGAATATGCCCTGGTGGAATAACGACCTGGAAAAACAAAGAATGGAAACAAAGAAACTTTTCAACCAAGCAAACCGAACAGGAGAGCAGAGCGAGTATCGTGAAGCTCTGACTAAAACCA